CAGCCGACAAAGAGGTTCCCACGATAGTACCCTGGATCCCATATTACTTTTAGTCATCATATTTCCTTGCATTTTTCCTGGATACAGCTGGGACACTATCTTTTGCAATGGCTTTACCATCTCAGACTCAACCTCCATGTGTCTCCGTACTACCTAGGCCTCCAGAATCCATGAACATGGGGAAGAAGGTCATAGAAGCAGATATGAGTCACTAGGGGTAATGCCTGGAGCCTGATCCAATCTGTACTTGGTAAAGGTCTATTAGTACAAGTGGAAGAATTCTTACAGTGATGTGAAAAGTGGCATCTTGTCCTGTAAGAGACAGTACCTTCGTTGGTACAGCACAAGAGAAGGAATAGGAAACAGATAAAAAATAAAACTACTTGCCCATGAGGGAGACATCAAATGTGTCTCAATAAGGAACTGCTCTATCAACAGGGATGTGAGGAAGGATGAACAGGCTGAGGGTCCAGAGCAAAGACAGCCAGGAGAGCAGGGACGGACACTGCTAGCACACATCCCCTTTGGAGGTCAGGGACACAGGCCACCCTGAGATTCTTCATCCTCCAAACAGATGCATAGGCCACAGGGATGTCTGAGGCTCACAGAGCCCCTCCCGTGTGCCATCCTGGCCAGGGACTCCCAAGGGCATTTGTTTCCCAGAACCAGAGGTGCCTTTTATATGGGGACACCCTCAGGAGCCAGGGGATGTGAATTCCAATCTGTTCTCTATTTCCATCAGCACATTCTCCATTTGATCTCCACAGGGATCAGAACTGCTCGCTGTCCCCTTGTCTGGGGCCAGATTAGCCTCACAGAGTGAACATTCTGTGGATTGTAGTAGGGGACAGGAAGGAAACCTAACACATGAGAAGAAAGAGGTGACCACTCAGAGGCCTAGCGAAGGAACTGGGGGGAGGGGAGAAAACTGAGAGGAGGTACTTTTCCAATCTCCTCTCCCTTCCTCTAATTATTCATCACCCTTTTTGTCTCCTTGATCCTCCAAGCATTTTTCAGAAACTTGATTGCTATGTAACTCACACACAAAATGATTCACCCACTTAAATATAATTCAATGATTCCTTTTTTTAGGGTTTTTAGTATATGCACAAAGCTGTTCAACTCTTCACTGCAATCTAACTCCAGAATTCATCACCCCCATCCCCAATATAAACCCTGCCCTCACTAACCATCACTCCCCTTCTGTCTCTGTACTCCCCAGCCCAGGCAACTACTAATCTGCCTTCAATCTCTATGAAACTTGATTGCTATGTAACTCACACACAAAATGATTCACCCACTTAAATATAATTCAATGATTCCTTTTTTTAGGGTTTTTAGTATATGCACAAAGCTGTTCAACTCTTCACTGCAATCTAACTCCAGAATTCATCACCCCCATCCCCAATATAAACCCTGCCCTCACTAACCATCACTCCCCTTCTGTCTCTGTACTCCCCAGCCCAGGCAACTACTAATCTGCCTTCAATCTCTACTGGTCTGCACATTTCATATGAATGGGATCATTTCATAGGAATGCATCAGTACTTCATTCCTGTTTATGGTTGAATATTATTCCATTGTGTGGCTGTACCACATTTTGTTTATCCATCTATCAGTTCATAGATATTTAGGTTGTTTCCACTTTGTGACTATTGTGAATAAAACTATTAAGAACATTAGTTTACAAGTTTTTTTGTGGGAACATATTTTCAATTCTCTTGGATAATATGCTCAGGAATAGAATTGCTGTCAGATAACTCTGTGTTTAACTTTCTGAGGAAATGCCAGACTGTGGCTACAACAATTCTTTCACAAGAGCAAGAATGGACCTTCTCTGCCATTTAATCCCATGTTCTTTCAGGTTTTGATATATGTACAACTGAGCCTAATTATTACTGGCACACTTGGCCATTAAGTCTTTAGTGTTTTGTAAATGAGAACATGTTTTAATTGCCAGGGTTTGTCTCTTATGCCCAATTAAGACTGGAGGCAATTTGAGGATGGGAATCTGGTCTTATCTTTCTACATCTAGATCTCAGAGACCTGTATGGTGCCATGCCCAAAACAGAATTAAATACTTCTGTATGTATAAATGGGTGTGGGAGCTTACACTAAGCCTAAAGAATATAAAGAAGACAGGGCAGACTCACTGGCCTTCTCCCTCTGTGAGAAGTAAGAATTTCCTTTGTCCACCTTCAGTCACTGAACTGTACCTTCTATTCTACCTTTTTAATTACAGGACACTGTATGTTTTCTGCTGAAATTTATTTAGAGAGACACTAGGTGTTGCTGGTTTCCCATGACAAAGAATATTGCTAAGAATTAATCAGTACCCAGGAGGCTTTATTACCAAGAAGTTAGGAAGAATTTTGATGTTCTATTTTTGCTTTTGCCAAAGTTCTTTCCAGATATTTACAAAACATACAGTGGCAGGCAGAATAATAATCCCATATAGATGTTCGCATCTTAATCTCCAAAACCTGTTAGGTTACATGGCAAAGGGTTATTCAAATTGCTTATCAGCTGACCTTAAAATATGGAGAGTATTATCCTGTATTATCTGGGTGGGCCTAAGGTAATCACAAGGGTCCTTAAGAGTGGAAGAGAGAGGCAGAAGAGAAGCAGAGGAAGGGGTGACTATAGCAGAGAGAGATGGAACATTGCTGGCTTTGAAGATGGAGGAAGGGGACCATTCCACTTGCAAGGTGGGTAATAAGCAAACAAATCCCAAGGCCAAAGGGGCTATGAGATCAAAGAAAGAGGTAGACAAATCCAGCTTGAATTCCATAGAGCTTTATTGAGGGGCACTTACCTACGAAGCTTGTCCTGGGCAGCCACAGTACTCAAAGATCTTCACTCCAGAGTCTACATGCAGGACAGGCACTTCTGTGCATGACGGAACAGAGGCTGACATGGAGTATTATCGCTGGAATTCAGAGCAAGAAGTCCTGCCCCAGGGAACAATGTTGATTGTCAAAAGCTGGGTATCATGTAAGAAGAGTTGTGTTCAAGGAAAGGGAGTGTAAGGCAGTCAGCCCGTCGGTCTAACAAGATGGCATTACTCCTGCTTTACAGACAGGGACCATGAGAAAAGAAATGCACGCAGCTTATGGAAGCTGGAAAAGGCTAGGAAACAGATCCTCCCCTTGAGCTTCCAGAATGGAACACAGCCCTGCAGACACCTTGATTTTAGCCCAGTGAGACCCCTCTCAAACTTCTAACCTCCAGAACTGTAAGATAATGAATTTGTGTGGTCTCACAGTCACTAAGTTCAAAAACAGAAACAGACTTATCAATGCAGAGAACAAACTGCTGGTGGCCAGAGGGGCGCAGGGTGGGGGGATAGTGAAATAGGTAAAGGGGATTCAGAAGTTAAAACTTCCATTTATAAAATAAATAAGTGCATAAGGAATGTAGTCAATAATATCTTAACAACTTTGTATGGTGATAGATGGTAACACACTTATCATGGTGAGCTTTTTGTAATGTATATGGATGTTGAATCACTGTGTAGTTCATCTGAAACTAATATTGTACATCAACTGTACTTCAATAAACAGATGAATAAATAACTAAATTCACTAAGCTTGTGGTAATTTGTTATGGCAGCAGCAGAAAATCAATACATATACTAATATTTTTCCCCACTTCACCCTTTTAAAAGTATGAATCTACTTAAGAAGGTAAGTGGGATGAGGGTACCAGGGGGTACTAGGTGACAGTTCACCAACATATAGTTACTTTATCATTTTATTATGTCATCTAGTATATATGATGTCAGACATGAATAATAATTAATTTGAAGTACTTTATACTTTTGCAAGACCTATCAATACATAGTTTGATTTGATCATCACAATAACTTTGAGAAGCTACGTAAATACATTTCTTCCCTTTTTGACAGATTAAAAACAAGGTCCCAGGGACAGGTAATGACAGAATCAGCTCCTTGTTGTATCTCTTTCAGGAGTGGTCCTCAACCTTTTATATGGTTCTCTTTCAAAGACCTTGGGTCTCAGGGGACTGGAACCCATCTTTCTAAGGGCACATCTATGTTTGCAGGTATTCTGCCACCATATATAGAATTTACAGAAAGAGTTCAAAGACATTAAATTCACTGAAAGTTTCCACCATTGGGCCTATAAACCTGAAGTCCGGTAGGCAGACAGATCCAGGTATTCCAGAACCACCACTTTAGCACACATGGTTCCCAGGGTAAAGGGAGCTCTCAGATGCTACAGGCTCCTTCCCTCAAGGGTTTATTCCTCACTGGCTCTCGCCTCCCACCCAGCCTCAACCTTCTCCTAAACCCTGGTAGCCACAGCCCTGCTGGCACGGGTTCGCCATTTGACTAACACTTAAGAGTCCCTGACTTGAACACACCTCTCCTGCCCATCCTACTCTGGACACCAGAAAACCACCCTGTTTGTGGCCCCTCAAAGCCCAACACCCACCCAAGTCAGACAGACACATTCTAGTTTCTCTCACCTGCATTCCCTGACTCCAACGATGCCCCCCACCTTGCACCTTCCACCCTCCCTCCCTTCCTCTGTCCTTCAATCCATGTTAAGAGCCTATCTATTCACTGTGCTACAGAAGGCTCTAGGGAGGGAGTTGTGAAGAGCAGGCCTACTCCTTGGCCTCCAGGCACTGACATCTGTTGGGGAATGTACACCTACCCTAAATAGTAAATTCTAAAAATGGGGAAACACCGGGCAGTTGCACTCATTTATCAGGAAAACTGACTCCAGCTCTTAATAGCCTTGGATTTGACTATTTTAAGCACAGTGATGCCATTCCAGGGAGACTTTGTAGTAAAATGATTAAGAACCTGAGCCCAAATCTCCACCTACTACTTGGTAGCTAGGTGATCTGGAGCAAGTTATTTAACCTTTTTTGTCTCAGTTTCCTCATACGTAACGAGGATGATAAAATACCTGATACAGTTGTTTTGATGGTTAATTAATGATGATTAAATTAATAGCATGGAGAAGTTCTTAAATCAGGTCTTTTAATACATGTAAATACAGGATCTGGCATACATTATATTGCGAGCATATGAAATTGCTGTCGTTATGAATTCAATGTCAGCAACCCCGTATGTTTTAATCTTAACAAACACTATATAAGTGTAGTCACTGTCCTTTCAGCAGAGTGGTGGGGGAGATGCAGGGGCAAGAAGGGAGTGGCTGGGGAAGCCACTGAAGCAGAAGAAAGGAAGCCTCTTCCCTCTCTAATCAGTACAACCATTAAAGCAGGTCAGCATGAACGGGGAGGAAGACACATAGAAAATGAACATGTGTTACAAGACAATATCAAGGTAAAAGCAAAACAGCAAATTATAATTCATAATTTAATACTGCATAAAGGAGAGTATTCCTGTGGACAGATATTGGACAGGAGCATCAAAATGAAAACAGTTGCTGAATTACATAGCAGAATGTGTGTGAATATTTAAAAGCTTCTTAAAATCCTGTTATGAAGTGAGTTAAAATGTAACAGGGCTGAGTACTGTCTCCCTGATGAAACTCATTTCTCCCTTGAGTCCAGACATCTCCTCCACCAGCTTTCTCCTCCTTTGCTGGCTGTGCCTCCCGTGTCTCCTTGTGCTCTTTTCAGTCTGCCTTTTAAATGTTAATGAAACATTTAATATTAATGAAACACTAACAGGCTCCATTCTAGGCTTCTTGCTATAGAAGAAAGGAAATACAACTATGGAACAGGGATGGGTAGGAAAACCTGTGTGGAAGTGAACTGGATTTGGAGATATCGGGAGTTCACGATTTCTAAAACGGGGATATGTATGTATGTTACATATATAGCTACATATGTACCTATATATATGTATATACCATATATGCATATATTTCCTAACTCTGTCTGCTGTAAGAACCTAAAAGCAAAGACCCTAACAGCAATGAGCTCACAAAATGAGGTTTGGAAAATGTAAACTGACCAAGTTTATATTAGGTAAGCATTCAAAACCAACACAAAAAAGTATGGCCTCCAGACCCCTTCAGATCTCATCTCAGCTGACTAACGGCCAAAGTTGGACAGATGGCCATGGAGTACACAGAATGCCAGGGCAGGATGCCCCACAATGGCCCTGTGAAATTCCCTAGGCTGAGGCTTCATCGTAAGAGACCAGACAGCTGTTGAACTAAGGGAAAGACAGCGCACCCTATCGTATGTACTAACATCCAAAATACTTTGACGGTAGACGGCTCAACGTGTTAATAAAAATTGTATTTGTAATCTACATGTAAAAACTCATATTCGTCATTCCGGCGGCCGCAGGAGGAGTAGACGGATGCCCCCAGGTGTGAGCACAGACAGCAGGCAAGCCCACGGCGCAGTAACGGACTGCTCTGCAGTTGGCCTGTGCCAACGGCCATGCAGAAGTGGTAACTGTCCTGGTACAGAGAAAATATAAGCTTAACCTCCATGACAACCTAGAGAGGACACCCCTGATCAAGGCCGTGCAATGCCAGCAAGAGGATTGCGCACGTATTCCTTTAAACCATGGTGCTGATCCCAATGTGAGTGACATCTATGGCAACACTGCTTTACACTATGCAGCTTGTGGTGAGTGTGTAACAATACTGACACAGCTCCTTTCGCACAACGCAGACATGGAGGCGAACAAGGAAGGCTTCACAGCACTTTTGCTTGCTATAAGGCAAAGAAAGTATGAAATGACAAAGTATTTACTAACTAAAGGAGCAAATGTACATGCTGTTGATAAGAAAAAAAGAACAACACTCATGCTTGCTACAGATAATGGATCAACAGTTATAGCCAGGCTGCTTCTTCGGCAAGATATTGATATCCTTTCAGAAGATACCCTTGGATGGACTGCAGAAAATTATGCTCGTAATAGAGGTTTGAATACATTCGGACTCTCCTGGTATCACTGTCAGTGGTGTGTCCAGTCAAACACCTGGGGATCTGAAAACTGAAGGTTCTCATGAAAATTATCATCACATCGAGCCTGCCATGGAAGCAAAAGACTCTGTCGGCTATATAAGAGTATCAGAGAAGGGAACACAAACATCCGGAGCAGGTTCAGACTCTCCTGGTATCACTGTCAGTGATGTGTCCAGTCAAACACCTGGGGATCTGAAAACTGAAGAACAAGACTTCATAATGATGTCAAAGAAAGAAGAAGAACGGCCTGATGGAAGTGACTATAACCACCCACAGGTACTTGTGAGACACCAACTCCAACAAGAATTGGCTGACGCTGAAATACAACGATTTGAGTCAGAGACTTTGCTAGCAGCTACCTCATACTATACTAATGAGAGACAGGACTTAAAGAAGAAATTAAATCAAGCCCTAAGTCAGGTTGTTGATCTTTCAAGAAAACTGGAAGTTTCATCTTCAGAAGTCAGAAACCTTAAAACTCACATGGCAAGGATTTCACTGGAACACAATAAAATGGAACAGTACAGACAGGACACTGAAGAAAGAGCAAGACAGAAAACAGTAGAAAAATTAAAAGAAGTCGATTGGTTTTTACAGGATGAATCACAAAAGAGATTACAGCAGTGGAGAGAGAAGGATAATTCTTCATTTAGAATGCAAATGGAACTCAGAATTAAAGATCTGGAATTTCAACTCCCCAAAAAAATTTCTCAAGAAGATTCTATTAAAGCTGAATTGGAAAAAAAAAAAAAAAAAAAAAAAAAAACTCATATTCGTGTAAAGTGGAATCAGTCTTCAGATACATTCTCTCAGATACTCCTTCAGCAGTAGCCCAAAGGGACAAATTTACGCTGAAACAGAGATAGTCTCCTTGCTAGTCAAAGGACAGGGTGTGCCTCCTTCTGAGGGTCTTTGGCCTCCCAGTACCTGCAGGAAAGCAGAGAGAACAGAGGCCAAGACTGGCTTGTGGCATGCAGACTCGCTCAGAGTGAATGGGATTTTAGTGATTGACCTGCCACCATGGAAATAAAGTTGGGTATAACCCTTTCGCCCCAAGAACATTCTACTGTCATTTCTTTGGTCACACTGAATCCATAGTGAACTTGCCCAGGGTTGAAACCCACTGGCAAGACAACTGCCCTGTAACAAGAGTCTGTTTCATAATTTTCAGTGTGCCAGAGCTCTGCTGATTATTAAGAATGAGGCTTTTGAGAAATAGTTAAGGTCACCAGTTGCCACTGAAAAGAGAGACCTACTTAGACAGGGACCCCTTCTTCCTGCCCATGCCAGAAACACAGCCCCCTACATTTCCCAGAGAGCCACACATTTTCAATATTCCTCATTGCTCTCTGCCAGGACACAGCACAGAAATCAAAAAGCACCTGGGCCATTTGGTTCAGATAAACGTGTTTGAATCCTGGTTCTGCCATTACTGGCTCTGGACCTTGGGCAATTCACGTCATTTTGCTAAGTCTCCATTTCCTCATCTGCAGAATAGATATGCTTCATGAGATTGTCATGAGAATTAAGTAAAATAATGTAGGGAAAATGCTAGCAGTCTGCTTCATAGCAGGCACTTGATAAAAGACATTATTTTTCCTTTTTCCTTAATTACAGCAACATTTGTGGCTAAGAAACACTGGGCTTAAATCCAGAAGAGCTGTCTGACTTCCAGTACTGCTACCTAACATTCTTTAAAAAAAAGAAACTAATGTGGTTTAGCACATTAGTGCTATGCTGGTTCTTTATGTACTTAAATTTTCAATGGGAGGATATAACCCTGAAATACGTATTATTATTCCCATTATATTAAGTTCAGAGAGATTAAGTAATTTATCAAGGTCACACAGCTGGTAGGAGATTGGACTGATATTTCAACCTAGAATGTGACTATAGTTTTTTGCTCCAAAAACCATCAATCTGAGGTAACCAGGCTGTCTGGAGGAGGCAGGGAAAGACAATGGAGTGGAGGGAGTAAAGGTGGTTGAAGATTTGGTAAAGTGACCCACTCATTAGGGTTCTATTTCCAAATCCCAAACACACCATACCAATAGCGGGTACCCAGCCCTCCTTTTATTTCATTAAAATGATCTGAGTTCTAAAATGAGTGGTTATCTGAAACCTGGGGGACAGAATAGCTCTAGGGCTCTTGGGAAGAACCAGTTACCTGTTCAACTCTATAGTGTAGCAGCTTAGCGTGGCTGTAATTTATAGCTGGAAATGCTATTTGAATCAGCCCAGTTCAGCCTAGACTGTCTCCCCATCCCTAGCAATTATATGTGGAGACAAGCCCTGACCCTCCCAAGTCCTGAGAAGATAGGAGCACCCCCAAATTAAGGAGGCTTTGTGGTTAATCTGACCTGGTTCAGACATCTAGTAGTTATATGACCTTGGGTAAATCTGACATCTTAGCCTGTTTCTTCATTGCTAATAGGGGATAACAACCTGAAAGGAGTAAATGTTATAATTGGCGTAAATGGTTCAACATGGTTCTGGCACCCTCAAGCAGCTTCTCAAGACAAAGCGCAGGGCCTTAGAGTTCTGAGTAACAGGTGGGGACTTACGGCATTCAGGGCATGATTATATGGATATTTCTTTGGAAGTGCCCAACTGGAGGGGCGGGAGGGAAGCAGAAAGCCTTAGAGTTATCAACTTGCCTTCCCACCCCTCTCCCTCATCTCTTCTTCTCTGCAATTCTCTGATTTGCACAGTAGTAGTTAAACATGAAAGGTTCATTCTCATTACCCTACTGACACACCTTGTCTACTGTTGATATCATTCTGGGACCAGGGCCCAAGGAAAATTTATTTTTCCATGTCTATTTCAATTATCTTTTTCCCCCTTTCCTTTCTTAGGGTATCGAACACAGGCAAACCAAATAACCGAAAATTTCATTCATAGCAAGTAAGTGGAGAGACAGGAACTTGTGTCCTTAAAGGTAGGAAGGGACCAAGTTAGTTTGCTTCAGCTGGGAATATTCATAGCCTCATGTGTATCAACACTTAAACTGACTCATCAGAAATTAACTTGCTTCTTGGCCCATTTGGTGTCTTCTCAAAAGTCAAAAGCATATGAATTATTATTAATCCTAGGAAAGCAGTTGTGACAATGGAGCTTCCTATTCTACCCAAAGCCAAAAAAAACAATTATAATACAGTTGACCCTCAAACAACATGGATTTGAACTGCAAGTGTCCACTTGAACATGGATTTTTTTCAATACATCTTAAAACTTTGTGGGAATCTGAGAAAATATTTTCTTTTCTCTAGCTGACTTCATTGTAAAAATACAATATATAATACATGTAACATACAAAATATGTGTCAACCCATTGTCGTCAACAGTAGGCTACTAGTTAAGTTTTGGGGAGTCAAAAGTTATAGGCAAATTTTTTACTATGTGGGGAAGATCAGTGCTCCTGAACCCCATGTTGTTCAAGAGTCAACTGTATATCCAACATTGAAAGGAATCAGGTAGAAAATTAAGAGATTACTATTATTATTACTCCTAGTTTAGCTCCATGTCCTGAGAAACATTTCCAGAATACCATGAATCCTAATTTGAAGCATAAGAAAACATTTATAAACAGATGATTTCTAAAGTTTGAAACAGTAATTATGGAATTTTCAAGCCCACCCACTAAACGCCTGACAGAGCTTTCTCCACTGTAACTGCCTACAAAGAACCACATACTTCCAGGCTAAAAAATTTGTGTTGTAATGAGGTGCTTAAAGTACTGAGGTATTCCTCTCTTGATTCAAACTTATGGATTAACAACATTTCAATACATCCTTTTCATTCACCATTTTCATTCACATACTATTTGTGTCCAGAGATAGACAAACAGATCATTAAGGAAACACATAGGCCAAGCTGTTCAGGTGTAATGATTCCATGGTTTATGTCATCATTTGAACAAATCATTGCTGTTCCATTAAGTCCACTCACTGTTTGCAGATAGCCAGGTCACCCAGTCTCCTGATTAGAACATTTAATCTGTCTTCTGCACCCCAAACCCTCACAGAACAGATCCCTAACCATGAAATAATACAAAGAAACATATTAATCCACTTGGTGGCAAAGTATTGGTCTTTAGGGCCCAAAGATCTCTATAATGAGCAAGAGCCAAAGGGGGAAAGGAAAAAATAGGGGAACTGATAGTTTGAACATGACTTTTCTGAGTCTCTCAGAATTTCCAAACTGTCTGAAACATGAGCCTCCTTTCTATAAGTGCTGAAAGAATCTACTTACACAAGACCAAATCTAAGGAACCCTAGGGAAGGAGAAAAAGTTATAGTAACAGTAGGGAAGATGAAGATTGTGGATTGAAACGATTACCCCCTGAAGAGTCCTGACTAAAAAGTCTGGGCATAAACTACTCCATTTTTTCAATGACTTCATTTTGTGGGAAACAGGTCACGCCCGCTCTGCACGCAGCCCACTCTGTGCACAGCCCATTTTGTGCCCTGCCCACTCTGTGCACGGCCTGTGTCTGTGTATGGCCCGCTTTGCACACGGCCCATTTTGTGCACGGCCTGCTCTGTGCACGCCTGCTCTGGTATGAAAGAAGAATAAACTTGTACTTTGGGGTCTCCACCTGCGCTGCGAGACCCCAGCATGCTGGCTACCCAATAAACGCTCTTGCTTTTGCATCCACGTGTCTCCCGGTTATTTGGAGGTCGATTACAAGGACCCAACACTCCCTAAGGTGGCAAGCAAAACACCCTGTGACAGAAACCCATGAACATGCTGGTTGTAGGGCCGTGGAGACTTCACTGTGGATAGAATGCTATCCACAGCAGCAAGTACCCTAGCCAGGCCTTGACTCAACTTCCATCACTTGCCTATGAGGGTCACAGCAGTCATCTGGAATCCTCTGCAGCAAATTCTCCCTCTTTACTGTCTCTATAAAGGCAGAAACAGCTTGGGCGTAGGGGTGGTGGGGAGGTGGTAGGGCAGTAGTTGTCTGTAAATCTCTTATACAAGCTAATTCCTTGTATCCAGACAGCAGGATCAGAGCTTCCCAATAGGACTCCTCTCTGTAAGAAGTTAGGACTTTTTCTTAACGGAAATTAACATTAAGAAACACCAAAGTCATCAGTCCTTGGACTCTATAAGTTCAGAGGAAGTTTTGAAAAAGATCAAAACCCTAAAGACTGAAGATATTCAGAAAGGCAATGTTTTAAATTGCAGGTGGCTTTTTGAAAATCAACCAATTGATACTATAAAAGAAAGCTAAGATGGTGAGGTGACAGACATACAAGGTGGAGATGTAAGAAAAGGGTGCTTTATTTTTGAGACTTTTTCTTTAGATGAGATTAAAGAAGCTGACTGTATTAGCACCAAAGAAACAATCACTGAAGAAGTAATAAAGGGTGATGTAAAAAGCTATAGAATGCTCTTTGAAACCCAGCCACTCTATGCAATTCAAGACCGAGAAGGGCATTATCATGAAGTGACAACAGTTAAAAAGGAAGAAGTAATTCATGGAGATGTACGAGGGATGAAGTGGCTTTTTGAAACAAAACCATTAGACCTAATTAATCAATCACAGACTGTGTATGCTATTAAATCTGTCACACAAGAAGACATTCCGAAGGGAGATGTTAGTTCTGTCAGATACAGATTTGAAACCCAGCCACTGGATCAGATTTCAGAAGAATCACATGATATAGTGCCCACTGTAGACTATATTCGAGGTGTAAAGACAAGTAAATAATTCTTTGAGTCTTACAATTTTGATAACAATACTTATATAAGAACAGTAAGTGTCAATGAAATACAAAAGGGCAATGTTAAAATATCTACCTGGCTGTTTGAACCTCATACGATAGATGAGCTGAGTAGAGAAGGGTCAGAATATAAAAATATCAAAAGTCACCCAGGAAGATATGGAGAAAGGTGATGTTAAGCAGGCAGTATGGCTTTTTGAAAATCAAACTTCGGATTCTATTAAGGAAGTAGATGAAAGCATTACAAAAATTATCAAGGAAGAAATCCCTCTTTCTGATGTGAAGACAACTACATGGCTCTTTGAAACTATACCCCTTCAAGAATTTAATGAGAATAGAGTTGAAAAGGTGGAAATTATTGGCAAGAGCATTAAAGAAACCTTAGAAGAACTCTGCTCCCAAGAAGTTATTGAGGCTCCTGGAATCATTATTGAAGCTGATGAAATTGGGGATGTTCGAATGGCAAAATATAAGCTAATGAATCCAGCCTCTCCTGAGATACAGAAAGAAGAAATTATCAGGGTTGATCTCAAAAATGTAATGGTGAACTTACTTTCCAGAAGAGACCATATAAAAAGAGAGATTTTGGTTAGTGAAGAAGAGAGGGGAAATGTTAATTTGACCAAAATGCAATTACTAAATCGATCAACAGAATTTGATGCTGAGAAAGAAGACATAGTGAGTGGTGATGTACAACAAGCAATAAAAAATATGTTCTCTGAGGAAACATATGTAAAGAAAGGCATTTTAATTCACAAGGAAAGAGGAGATACTAACATGACTATCTATTGTCTTCTTCATGAAAATGCTGGTGACACCATTAAGTGGGATTCACATCAATAGGCAGTGATGTGAAACGTACCATTCATAGTTTGCTATCCTCCCTCTCAGACAATAAAATATCTGAAAGGGCTAAAATTGTTGCCTCTGAGAGAGGGAATGTACAGTTTTTCACAAGATGCATAGAAACTGGAGCTTTGGATTATCTCAAACAACTCCAGACAGGGTCAAATGAAACACTAACAATGAGGAAACAAGAAGGAGAGGAAGAAATCATTGGTGGTGATGTAGAGGGCACAAAGCTGTTATTAAAGAAAAGGCAGTGGCAGGTTGAATGTACTGTTAATGAAACAGACATCATCCCAGGAGATGTGCAAAATGCGGTTAGGGTTTTTATGACAGAGCCTCAGAGTACATCTTGTAAGACAACCAAAGAAGAAATTATAAAAGGTGATTTGAAATCAACCCTAAATTCCCTCAGCCAGGCCATAAATCAAAAAACAGTAGCTAAAACAGAAGAAATTATAAAAGGTGACATGCTGGCCACCCTCAAAACACTAAAGGAATCAAACTACCCATGGAAAGAATCTAAACAGCCCAATGCGATCCTTGGTGACATTGAGAATGAATGCCTTGAGAAGACTACAAACACCTGGACAGAAATCCTGAAAAAAGGAGCTCATCCGAGATGACCTTGAAACGTCATTCAGGAATCTGAAAGAGACACAAAGAGCTCTCAAAGAGGTAGATAAAAAAGCTGTAATCAAAAAAGATGTGCAAACTGTGAAGGCAGGATCCTCCGAAGAGCAGAAGACAGAGATTCGTCAGGTGGCTCTCCAAAGGATAAAAAAAGTGTTTTTCAGCCGAGACCAGGACCACTGGAGCCGGCAGCCAGGTGGCAAGTGGGAACAGACACTCTTAATCAAATGAGAGGTAAATCTGATCATGGGAATTTAATAGAAGAAGTGAGGTTAATCTTCCAAAAGCCCCCAAAGAGAAAACAGTAACAGTAAAATTACCTATAGAACCCATGGAGAAAAGCCACAAACATAAGCTCAGTATAGTTCATGAGAAGCAAAGAGAATTCAGAGAATCAGATGGTGAGCAACTTCTAGAAAGTAAAGAAACAATTCAGGGACCACTGATGACTGGTCCAAAGGAAGAGAGACTGACAGCTGAAAGAAAACAAGACCAATTGAATAAATCAGCACAGAAGGTGGTCAAGCAAATGGTTACTGATATACATCTTGATTACCAGACTCAGAATATTCAGCAAACACAGACTTCTGAAGATTAAGTTGAGCGTAAAAAATTGCCCCAGCTGTATAATAATCTGCAGGAAGAAAAATGTCCTGGAGTCAAGGGTCCACAACATCAACAAATCTTTTCTAATACTAAAGATTCAAAGCAAGAGATTACACAGAACAAAACTTTATTTTCCTCTGTGAAAGAATCCCAGGATAATGGAAAATATGCTGTGAACATATTGGAATTCTTGAGAAAACATGAAGAAATATACCAGATTTTGTCTAGAGTAAAGCAGTTTGAAGTGGAGCCAGATAAAAATGGCCTTAAGACATTTCAGACACTGTTAAGTATTATTCCAGTATGGCTATTAAGTGAAGAAAAAAGAAAATATGGGGTTCGCACTGCTGTGGAGAATAACATAGAGAAAATCAAAGAGGAAATCACGCATATTAAAGCTAGAGCAGAGGACATGCTTGTGTCCTGTGAGAGTGTAATTCATACAGCCATGACATCCTCCAAGGCTGGAAAACAGAGAAACAAACCTACTAGGTTCAATGAAACATCATCTAAAGTATCTAGTGTTAATGTCAGCTGTAACAAAAACACTGAACAGAAAGAAAATACAATCTTAGAAGAAACAGAGCACCATCAAAGAGCAACACATCATGAAGCAACTGCTCAGAATCAAGTGAAAACCCATCAGATTAAACTAAATAGTAAGATTCTCCTCCCTCATAAAAACACGCCAAGTGGACAGGATTCTAGTGATTGACTTGTGGGAATAAGTTGGGTATAAACCCTTTCACCCCCGCAAAAAAAAAAAAAAAAAAAGAAACACCAAAGTCATTCACTCACAGTCTCAGGTCAACCTCAGGCAAGCAGGTTAAGGCAGGGACAAGTGTAAGAGGTCTATTATAACCCTATCCAGGCCAAAGGCAGGTCATTCAGGACCTCCCTAAGGCTGAACTGGTGTTCAGGCTCTCTCTCGAATGGTCACAAGTGGTGTGTTTTTGTCTAGAATGATTAGGTCATACCCAGTCCTAATTAGACCAAGCTTCCCAGTTCCAGGATGAACCCTCTATTCCTTGGCCTATGGACTAGTGGACAATCTGTCCCTATTTTAAACTATTTGGGTCCTCCCGATCCCAATTTATGTCCCCAGAGAATTGGGGCAGCAGTGGACCAGATTCACATTGGTGATGAGATCGAGTAAATAGCTGGTCCATGTGTTTAAAAATTAACTGAACTCCCTTTGGAGTCACATTTACTCCCAGCTGTAGGCTAGGACAATAACACTAAAAAGTCTTTTCTTAAAAGACTCTCACCACTTCCCCATCTCTCGCACCTCTCAATCTTAATCTTGCCCCTGCTTTGCCCCTCATGCACACACCACCAGAAGATGCTGCTGGGACACTTCAGTTTCTCTAGGGCCCAAGGAAAGTGAAATTAATGGCATATGGCAGAAAATCCCATTGAAGACTCCTCCTAGTTCAACACAGTGAAGAAGTAAATGATAATGTAAGAGAAGAGGCAGTAGAAACCAAAGCCTGTCCCCTCCCATGTAAGAGGCACAGAAATTTCAGGAGTTAGTGAAAAGAGCATCATCTCTTGCCAGAAGGCCACCAGCTACCACTGGTTGGGAGCTGCATTATCACTTGTTTCTCCTCTGGACTGAAATGCAGGATAGTCAGGATAGCGATGAGCGTCTGCTGGCGGCCCAGGGCATCAGGCAAGGTCAGGAAGCGGTAGATGATGTTTTTGAGGTACTCCAGGTTGGCTCCCTCCCTACTCTGGTCCCTGATGCTCTTTTCAATGTGGGTCTGCAAAGCTCCAACCTCCTCCCGATGCCGCTCCCCCTCCTCCAGCAGCCGATCCTGCAGCTGATGCACCTCTACTTCCAGCCTGTATTTCTGCTTCCTCAGTGATGTGATCTCCACCTCCTTGCGGGCCAACTGCTCAGCATACAAGAAGAAAGTGGGCTCGTTGGCTGCAGCAAGCTGCAGTGCTTGGGTCAGGCTATCTGGGGAAGATGGGTCAGCTGGGTCCCCAGGACCCCCGCCTCCAACTGGGCTTCTGCGTCCTGGCAGCCCAGAGATCAAGGCCACAGAACGCAGTTGCTCCAGCTCCAAGTCCTTCTCAGCCAGCACGGCCAAGGCACGGTCCCGCTGCTTGTGCAGCTCCTCCTCCAGTTTCAGCATGCGGTCCCTGAAGTCCAGCTGGCTCCGCTCCAGCTCCTGCCTGTGGAGATGCTGCAGCCGGGCCAGCTCCTGCTTCCAGTCTTCAGCCTCCTGCTGGTGCTGGCGCTCAAGCTCCTCGCAGGACAGCCGCAGGGAAATATACTTCTCCTTCAGCTCCGCAAGCTGTTCCTGGGCTTCCTCCAGCTCCTTGGCTAAGTTACCGTCTTTGGTGTTCCTGCTCTTAAGGACGACCTGGGCCCTCACCTTGTACCTCTCAAACTCTTCCTTCAGCTGTTTCAGCTCCTGTTGGTAGTAGAGCGCAGTAGCCTTCTCCCCATCAGCAGCCTCAGAGCTTGGCATTATCTCCAGGTTGCACAGCTTCTCCACATCCAAGGTCTCTTGGCTTTTCCTGACTGCAACCTGCAGCAGCCTCTTCAGCTTCTCCATCTTATCTTTCAGGACATTAACATCCAGACTGGAATCCTCCCCATGGCTGTCTAGAGGGGACCGGCTAGAGGCTGCTAGAGCCAGCGTCTTGTTCTCCAGGTCCAGCTGGAGAATGCGCTCCTTCAGCTTCTGGATTGCCAGCTGGTCCTTCTGCTTGGCTTTCTCATAGGTGCCCAACAGTTCTGACACCTCAGATATTTGATTCTCCAGGGTTGCCACCCTCTGCTCTTCCACCTGAGATTGCTGGCGAAGTTGTTCCTCTATAAGGGCAGTCTGTAAAACAAGGGAACAGATGGGAATGCATCCAGAACAGCCACAAAGCTCTATGGCAAATTTTGAGATGAGAGAGGGGAGCAAAAGGGTCACAGGAATGATCTGGCAAAGATGAGAACTGGAAATTTTTCTGTTGATTTGGTTGCTAACAAAAGTTCCTGTAACCTGCTTGGGTTCTGCTCCCAAACACACATTATGCTAAACAAATTAAGAGACTTCCTGTACCTAATGTTGTTGTGATTTAGTGCCTCCACTTCCTCCTATCATACACCAAGCCCACAAATGAAGTGTTACCTTTGTCACATGCTTCCCCAGCCTGATAAAAAAAAAAATGACATTCTTTTCCTCTTCCAGTATTCCTGGAAGTTCAAAAGTGAGTTGGATTGCTCTCCACACTGCAAGGAGCATGATAAATTGTATACCTTTCCAGAACAGGCCAATAGTGACTGAAAGCAATGACAAGAAGCTATTTCTTCTGAGAAAATTCTCTTTGCCCCCTTCAGCCACCTTACTTATAGGCATACAGTGCTACCTATATATAGGCATATACCTATGGGCATACACACCTTTCACTGCACACCTGCCACTATACTGCTTCACAGATCACAGCTGGTAAGTTGCCAATGCCCAGAAGCTCAGAGCTGTCTGGCTCCAATCCAGCCTACACTGAGGAACTCAACATCCTGTTGGAAGCACACTCTGCAGATACTGTCAACACCACACAGAACAGGATTTCCCAGGACTCACAAGTGGCACTATGAAATTGACAGTGCAGCCACTTAGTTTTAACTACCAAAGAGAAAAAAACCTTAATATTTCCCACTTCAGGCCAAATGACTACTGTATAAAGGAAATGAAGATAATTTACCTTCCTCATTTCCTGCTGCAACTGAGTCTGGAAATGGCTCTTAAGACAGGCGGCCTCTTCCTGAAGCTCCTGCAACCGGGGGTCTGGCCGATTCTTCTGTTCTCGAAGAGCCTGCAGCTCACCTTTCAGCTCCTCCACCTCAAGGGTCAGCTGCTTGGTCTGCAGTTCAAACCCTTCCATCTGACCAGCTACATATGTCCTCCCTGCCAGGGCTTCCCGGGTCTCTTCCAATCGAAGTTCCAAATCCTGGCGCTGGGTCCTCTCCTCCTGCAGCAGTTTCTGGAGCTCACGCAGCATCAGGGCATGGTCACTCTGCTCTTGGGCCCGATCGTGCTGCTGTGTGATAAGTCTAGCTTTGGTTTCTGCTATCTGCTCCTGCAGCCCCTTCAGTTCTCCTTCCAGATGGCACCTCTCCTCCTCTGCCTTTTTACTGGCATCCTCTAAGTCCTGTTTCATCTTCTTCTTGTCAGACAGGTAAGAAGCTTCCATGCGGGACTTCTCCTGGGTGACCGTAGCCAAAGAGCTGGTCAAAGTAGCCAACTGAGTCTTCAGCTGGTGCAGCCGTTTGTCCACTTCCCCACCCCCAGATAGTCCATCCCCACTGCTACTGCTAACGCCACTCTCCGATCCACTGGCCTCTTCGGACTTTGGAGGTGGTGGTCCACGGGCCAGTCTGTCATCTTCTACCGCAAACTCACCCTTGGTGCTGGTAAGACTGGCTGCAGTATCCAGGCTGGTGGCGGTCCCAGTGCTATCCTCGCTGTGAGTGGAGCATCGGTCATCCACAGAGTCAGGAAAGGTGAGGCCTGGAGGCTGGACACCTGCAAGGTCCACATCCGCCTCGTGAGATACCGACAAGACCTTAATGCTGGCCTCTAGCGCCTCTTTCTCTTTCAGTAGACTTTTATAAGCGCGGACCACATCCTTGAGACGGGCCTGGTACTGGAGGAGCTGCTTCTTCTGCGTCTCAATGGTCTCCAGCAGCTCCTTCTTGCTCGGGCCGGCCCCGAAATTCATCCCAAACTTCTCCATGAGGATTCAGAACAGGCTGCTAATACTTTTGGGCAGCACGAGTGAGGGTCGCGCTGACGCTGGCGGAGGCTGCAAACAACTGGGAGGGAGCTGTCCCCGCGGCCGCACAGCCGCTCCTAACGACTGTCCGGTACCGGATGCGGGACGGTCGGGCGGCTCGGCAGAAGCGCGCGCCGGGTCGCAGGCCGTGAGAGAGGGGGCGGGTCCTATCCTAGAGGCGGGGCGACGCCGGCACGAGAGGAGTGCACGGCCAGGGCTCGCCCGCCCTGTTGCAGATGCCGCTCCGGGCTTGCCGCTGGCCAAGACCACAGCAGCTTCGGCCGGCCTCGGCCCGCCGTCAGCCCAGGAATTTAGTTGCGCGCAGCTCCTACATGATGTCCTAACTACCGCGGCCGACAACAGCGCTTCCGGGTCCGCTGGAAGTGACGACAGCACGACGCCACACGCCCCGCCTTCAGGGGGCTGGAGGAGGATGGGGCTACTTCAGCCGGGGAAGGGGCCGCGGCCTGTCGAGAGCCAAGTGGAGCTACGAGCTCACCAATCTCGACAAGAGCAAAGTCGAAGACACAGGAAAGACGTTGGTTTGGTGCGGGCGCCTGAGCTTGTCTTCGGGCTTCGATCAGTGAGGGACAAGGGACAACGTTCCACTGAGTATTTACTAAACACCTGGGTGAGCAACGCGTACCATTTGTAGGCTCAATACCTTTGTCCCTAAAAAGCAATAATTAAGATACCCATTTAGACCACGAAAACTGCAACCCTTTCTAGGACAGTGTTTGAGACCTAGAAGGCATATAGTTTAATTATTAGCACCTTTCCTGAGTTCTGCTGAGTTGATTCAATAAATATGTATAGAGGGCACCATATATCCATGTCGTCTATCGTAAGTACCAACTATATTCCAAGAGCTTCACAAGAGTTTTACCATTTAGTCTTTACAATAATTCTGTGCAGTATTATTAGCATTACTTTACAGATAGGGAAGCATGAGGCACAAAGAGGTTAAGTAAGGTGCCCAAGGTCACACAGCTAGTAAGTTTAAGAATCCCATCCAGATAAGTATGACTCCAGACATTTCATGTGCTGTTCCAGGTGGTCACCATGAAGGGATAAGTCTCCCTCAAGGGGCTCACATGTAGTGAGGAACCAGACATGCAAACACAAGTCCTGCTATCATACCAATATTTATGAGTAAATTTAAAGTAAAGGGGAGACAGGCCTGTCTAGGGGAGGTAAAGAACACTTTCAGGGAAAATACTTTGAGAATTAAAGGATGAATAGTGATTGTCCATCTAACTAGAAATGAAGAAAACAAGCATTCTAGGCAGAAGGAAGAGATTTCAAGGACTTCTGGAGCATCAGAGAGCCTAGCTCACATAAAGTATGGACAATCATCTCAAGTCAGTAGCTTAGAATATGTGAAGGAGGTGGCAACAAATGGGGTAGCACAATAGGTAGAAACCCGAATTAAGGCATTTAGATTTTTCACTTGAGTAATAAAAAGACACTAAATGATTTTAATATTTTAAGAATGGATCAGGACTTGTATGACAGCGTGAAAATACCAGGGGGCTGGAGACCTGTGAGGAGTCTATTTTAGTCAAGGGGAAGAGAATGGCAGTGAAATAGGGCAGGAATGAAAAGAAAATGAGTAATTAAAAGAACTAAAAATGTAGACTGGCCTGACTTGTCACGACTAGTTGTGTTACATTGAGACTCTTAAATGTACACTTCGATCTTGTAAAAGTCTTCTTAGGAATGCAAGTCTATAACTTTAGAATAAAAGGAAGTCATGCATTCACTCATACCTAATGCCCAAAGTCTTTTCTCTTTACCGACTTTGCAGGTCAGGATGGGGCAGATCCTGGGGGTCTGTTCAGACCCACTTTCTTAGTGGCAGATAACAGCCAGCTACATCATACAAAACATTTAGATACAGTATCTCACATTTTAATCTTCATAACATGAGGTTGTTAGGGCAGTTGTTAGTCTCCTTTCATAGATAAGAAAATGACAGGTTGTAAGGATTGTTGAAGCCAAACCCTAAAAAAAATTTTTTTTTAAGGCAAACCATTTGACTTCAGGTCTGGAACAATGGCATCTAGTGAACACTCAATAAGTATTTGTTGAATGAGTGAATGAATGAAGGTTCTCTGATTCCCAGCTCACCTCACCATGTCTAGTCCATAAGCAATTGATCTTGGAAACCAACTGGGAATCCAGAATAGGCAAAAAGTCTGCCTTTGCTCCACTAGACAACCTATTACTCCATTCAACCTGGCAAGCATTTGTCATGTATGCAATGAGGGCCCTGGCACTGACCCAGTCTCCGACAAAGAAGAAATCTGATTTGATTTCCACTTAGCTTTTTCCCCTCCGGTGCTGAATAGGAAAAATACTTGTGAAGCTCTTTGGGTGTAAGGCTGCAAGTGCCTCACAAAATCTTAAATAGAAGTGCATTAAAAATACAGGCTCCCAGGTCTGTGGTCTAGTGAAAGAGCTTCAGAAAAGGTTGCCTGGGTCGGCTGAAAAGCATTAGTTCCAGTGCCGTGGAGGCGAAGACGGAGTTCTCCATTGTGCAGGAGTAGGGTCTTCGACCGCGCCAACCAGAGCTGGGAATCTCCCCCCGGTGCTGATTGACGATCTATGAAGCAAGCGGTTTAAGGAACCATGAAGGCCGCCAGCTAGTCCTTGGCAGGCATCTTCTTCTTTCTCCAGAGCACCCCTCTACGGTCACTGAACCTCTTACTGCACTCAAAGCCCCTCGCTGGGAACCCAGGGGGCAAAAGGGAGGACTAAGACACTTGCACAGAGCCTCTGCTCCACTAATTGGGTGGTGCAAACAATCGATGATGCTAGTTACCAAGAGCTAAACCGGAGCCCAGAGTGGGCTAGACGCAGCAAACCAAAGCCCAGCCTGCCACTGAAGATGGGGGTGGGGAGCCGTGGAGCGTTGCAGGCTTCCCTCGGCCCTCCTCGGGCCGCCGGTTCAGCAGCCACAGACCTGACAGTTCTGGAAACGAGGAGACCCAGGTCCTTTCTCTCTTTAAAGCCTTCACGGCACCTGAAAAAAGTGGCCGACACAGGCTCAGCTTCGGTTTCTCGCTAAGCCCGAACCTGGGGGCGGAGAGGAGGCGGGGCCTGGGTGGGGGCGGGCCCACAGTGACGTAGGGCGGGCCGGGACGCGCGGAGGCGGCGGCGGAGCCTCCTGCTGCTGCTGCGCCCCATCCCCCCGCGGCCGGCCGGTTCCAGCCCGCACCCCGCGTCTGTGCCCGCGCCCCCTTCCCCGGGCCCCGCCATGGGCCTCACCGTGTCCGCGCTCTTTTCGCGGATCTTCGGGAAGAAGCAGATGCGGATCCTCATGGGTGAGGCAGATCAAGCGCATGGCCCGAACCGGAGCGCCGGCCCCCGCTCAGCTCACCCGCCCCCACGTCCCTCCATCCCAGCTCACCCGGGTCTCTGACCCCGAGTCACCCACCTCCTAAACCCCCGGAGCCACTGCTCTTGGCGGGTCGCGGTCTGCAGCATCGCCCCCGGGGCCTGAGACCGGGAGCTGCGGGCCTGGGTGGGGTGAAGCTCCTTCCGTCCCAACCCGGCTGGTAAGAAGGGAGGATTCCGCCCTTGGAAACCACTTTTAAAAGGAGCGCGGCCCTCCTCCAATGCTCCTTACTCGCCAGTCCTCTCCCGCCCCTCTCCAGCTTTGGGGGCAGGAATTGGCACTCACCATCTAGACTGCCTTCAAGGCCTCGAAGGTAGATAACAGCGCACACCTGGTGGTGCTTGGGCTCTTCGCCACCGTCACCCGCAGCTGTCCTGGCCTCTCCCCTTCCCTGGTCTCTAGGGGGCTCCCTTGCTCGCGTCTCCATCCCTATGCCCCCTCCTTTGCAGTTGGCTTGGATGCAGCTGGTAAGACCACAATCCTGTACAAACTGAAGTTGGGGGAGATTGTCACCACCATCCCCACCATAGGTGAGTCCAGAGGCGAGGCAGGGAGGAGCGGGCGCGCAGCGGCAGGCCTTGTGTTCCCCATTCTGCCCAAGGCCCTTTTCCCTGTGCCAGGAGCTGACCCTGACACCAGATAGGGTTGCCTGAGAAGTGGGTCACCGTATCTTTATCCTGGATGGTGCTGAGGCGGGGTGGATGTGACCTAGTCCCTCCCCATCTGTGGACTGCCAGCCCTCTGGGGTTCTGTTCCCTTGGGACTCAATCATTACTTTCTGATTTTTTGTCCCCATAGAATCCACGTAGTTTCAGTGAGTTCCTTCCTTTTAGGACTATTTCCTCAAATTTTTTTCATTTATCTGCAGGCTTCAATGTGGAAACAGTGGAATACAAGAACATTTGTTTCACAGTCTGGGACGTGGGAGGCCAGGACAAGATTCGGCCCCTGTGGCGGCACTACTTCCAGAACACTCAGGTGGGGGTGGGGCTCCCCAGACCCAGGGGAAGAGATGTTAGGGTCAGGGAAGACTGAGATGTTGGCCTAGGCTGGGCCCCCAGGCCTGGAAATAAAAACCCTTAACCTCCTTCAATCCCTCCTTTTGTAGGCTAGCCTCTACTCATCCTTCAGAACTGACCTTAGTCTTCTGAGACTTAGCCACCTTAGGCTTCTCTCCGAAAGTAGGGTTCGGGGTCCACACCACCTGATTTAGCTCTCATCATATGCCTTTCCCTGTTCCCTTGCACATCTTTTAGCTGGACTTCTTGCTGGAGGACAGACGCTATTATGGAGGACAGACACTATTATTTGCAGGATGTCTCCAGTGTGTGCCAGGAGGTCTGCAGAACCTTAGTGGAAGTTTACTAGATGGGAGGGGTTTAGACACAGTTAAAGATGTGAAGAAGACAGAAAGAAACTAGGGATACCTCAGGTGGGGTAATTGCACCTCCTTTCTTCCTTCATATCCAGGGCCTCATCTTCGTGGTGGACAGTAATGACCGAGAGCGGGTCCAGGAATCTGCTGATGAACTACAGAAGATGGTGAGCACCCAAAGGCCTGGGAACAGAGCCCTTGGTTTGGAGATGGAGAAGCCTTTGTGCTGATGTGAAAGTCAGGAAATGCCTCACAGGCCTTGAATATGCATTTCTCTGTGTGGACATAGACATAGGAATATCTCACCCTGTTTTGAACTTGGGTCAGGTAAAAAGTATAGGACTGACTTTTCCCTTGAATTTTTGTGTCTTCACATCTGAGTCTTGAGAAGTTGGTGGGGAGAGGGGAATTATGTGTGGTTGAGAGAAACATCATCTCGCATTCTTTTTTTTTTTTCACGCAAGAGACTTTATTATCTGAAAGAGAGAGTGCCCCAGACGGGGGAGGAGAGAGAGAGAGAGAGACTGGGAGCAGCAGCAGAGAGAGAGCAAGGAGAGCAGGGGGACAGAGAGACAGAGACAGAGAGGGC